TGAAAGCTCAGTCCTTGTCCTCAATGCCAATCCAATAGCGAGGACATGGTTTTGAGAAAAAGAAAAAAGAAGGTTTTTTACTTTGCTAGCAAAGGAGAAACACAGGGGACTCCTGTCCCAAAGGCTGCGATTCTGCCCATCAGCAGGAACAGGGGGCTTTTATAGAGGTGATTCAGAGAAAATGAGATTAGGGAGGAGAGATCAGGAAAGAGAAGATAAGGAAGGAGAAGTTTAGGGAAAAGAATACCAGAGAAGATCAGGGGAAAGAAGATCAGGGAAGAGGTTAGGGAAAAGAAGAACAGGTAGGAGAAATTTAGGAAAAAGAAGACTGGGGAAAAACATGTAAGTTTCAAAGCCACAAGGGATACATTCAAGTGAACCCCTGTTACACTTAGGCTATAAGTGTACCAATGGTCCACTTTATGTTTAAGTTGGTCAAAACTGACCTTGTTCCTACCTATTCTTCAGAGGCAGCTGAGATTCCTCAGAGATCACTCTTGGGGACATGTCTGAAGCCTCTTGTCTCCTTTAGCTTTCCTCAACCAGTGGTGCCATCTGCTAGGATGGGCCAGAGTCCTGCTGACAATAAGTGTCTTCTACTGGAAGTATCAGGGATGTTTCTGTCTCTGATGACTCTCCTCTTTGCAGAATGTGCACTGGTTGGCTTCTTATTCTCTAGGGTCCTCTCCATCTCCTTGATAAGCAGATCAGGTGACTCACCAGAGCTGCAGGGCCCAGAGAGGGTTCCCATTGTTCTCTGAGTCTTGATTGACCTTATAGGGCAAGGGCCAAAATGTTGACTGCTTTTTCCTTGGCGCTTTTACTTCCTTTTCTTTGGTTTCTACATTTTTGGTTTTAAACACCCAGCAAGCCATTCACCAGTCTTAAAGAGGGAGTCACAGGTTATAACTCCAACATCTATAATCTTAGTTACCTCTTTCATTTAATTGGGGTTAGTGTTAATACTGGTAGTCAGCATTATATATACTATCTTTCCTGTAGGTGATGGCTTATTATCTCAAATTAACTCAGGTGTGTTCTCATTCTCTCTCTCTCTCTCTCTCTCTCTCTCTCTCTCTTAAAGAAGCAGTACCTCTACAAAACGCTAACAGGCAATAGTTATATAAAGTCTAAAAGGAAAATACAAAATAAAATTATAAAGCAAAAACATATTATGTAATATCTGTGAACCAAGAAAAATAACTTTTATAATCCTGAACCTTTACTTAGTTATATATTATACCTCTTGTTTGAGATCACAGTAGTCTTTACAACAAAAATCAATCTTTTGAACACAACTTTAAATGATCTGAAGTCTAGCCTATTTTGAAGCCATTCCCACATAGAATAAGGTTGGAGGCAGGGCCTTATTTCAGGTAAGGCAGAGCTCTTCACAAATAACAATACAACATTACATTTAAAACATGAATCAAAGAAAGATTAAGAGAACTTTTAACTGTCTTTTTGTGGAGAAAGTGGCAGAATGCTTCCATGTTTTACAATGTCACCTTTAGACCGGGATCTCATTATTATCTTCCAAAAATGCATTTAAATTCCAATTCCAGTGTGAAGAGTAACACAAAATTGTATATATAGTTTATTGACAACAGCTTACTTTATCCAGCTATAAAACATCAAATGACATGAATAAATACCAACCAAATTTGTTATTTTTATTTTATCTGAGACTTTTGCTACACAAAATTTTAATTCAGAGAACACCAACTTGGAAAAATGCTCTCCTAAACTTTACATTTAATTAACTTTTAAAGTACAATTTAGAATCCAAAGTGTACAGTATCAAATAATCACATGTCTGCATGGGTTAATAAAAATCAAAGGATAGCTTTAAATCTCTTATACATTTAGAAAATGCTGTTAATGATCAGAAATTGACTTAGTCAAAGCAAACCGATATAAGACAGGTCTTCAAAATGACAGTGTGGCCGGTCTATGTGAGATATAATGTATATAAAAGAGAGCACTTATTGGTTATCTTGCCAGTAAACTTACATAAACTTTCATTTTATAAACTTTTAAATAACATTTAGACAAGGCTTAGACAGATATAGTTCTCAGATGCATACATATACCTAATCACATGTATTTAGTCAACCATATCTGTCTAAACCATATATTTATAACCTAAGCGACGTTTGTTTAACCAGTTACAAAGCGTTTATGACTTTAAATCAGGTACAAACCCTAATTCCTTTAAGATTTAGTTTCCCCAGGTAATGAAACCTAACAAATACAAGAAAATTATCTTGATAAGAGATCCGTGTTTCAGACTTTGCTTCATATAATTGCATTAAATTTCCAATAACTTTGTGCAATTATAGCCAATGTAATCACAAACACAAACTTTTTGAGATTTACCTTCCACAAACTTCTGCTACTTAGACATTCACAACTTTACATCCTTAGTTTTATTCTCTTTCCTCTTGGACTTTAGCCCAAGAATACTACTTTACTGGAAAAAATACTTTCTCATTCAGAAACATTTCTTTTACCTTCTAATTTTCTAAAAAATATCTCCGTACCTGTATCTTTCCTTTGTCTTTTTTAGTTTCAGTTTCAACCCCTTCAGTTTAGTTTCAACCCTTTCTTAAATTCATATTCTGAAACAGACCTTATGAATGTTACCTGTGCATACAATTTACACAACAATTTCATCCCATGAGAGGGCTGGACAATCCAGAATGCACAAAAACTATGCCTTAATGGTTTTTCTCACAGATTGCATTTAAGGGGTTGGCGAACAATATATTTTTGAGCCTGACCTATTTCCCTTACCATTATCATAAGGCTTACTAAGTGAGTTCCCCATTGTCAATTGTACCCAGAGGCTCCTTTGGGATCTTTTTCTCATACTAGGCATATTGATATGTAATGCAGGAAGCCCTTTCCATCCTTTTCTTTAGGCTTCCTTGAAGATCCCTCTGTAGAGACTGCCTCCAAAACATAGGTTGGCCTTAGTTTCTGTCTTTTTCTTTTTGGAGTGAGTTGTTTATTCTGCCAGTCTCCCCATGCACTTAGTTTGATGGAGTATTTTTATAGCAAGGAATACTTTGCCCCTATGATGGCCATCCCCTGGCCAAATGAGGTGTCCTGTTAGATCTTAAAATGGGAGACTATTCTCATTCCCAGGTCATAAACTGAGTGTGCTGGAACCTATTGCAACATCCTTTGTGGCCAGCAGCTTCACCTACCATGGGCAAAGGGGCTGGAAGGCATGGCAGAGGTCAGGTTCTCTTTAGCTGTTTTCCTACAGCTAAGGCAGCTTTTCTGGGACTTCCCCCCCCCCCCCCCCCAGTTTAGGGCTGGTGTCCTTGACCTACAGTAAAATGATCTTTGGCTGCCTGGGGCCAGGCTAAGAAACAGTGCTGGGAGTGTCAGCACTGGGTTTAAAATATTTAAATCTTTTATAACCCTTTCTTCTGGTGTCCTGCAATCCTTGCATATCAGAGGCAGTACCTTTGGCACCTTCAAATTAGACCCCAATGGTTCAGACCCCTATCATGCAACTGCATAAATGCCTATACATACAAAATCTCTTTCATATACTTTAGCCCCAACAGATCAACTCCAAAGGCCAGATTGTGTTACAGTAAAATGTCCTTCTCTTAGACAGGCTTATACCTATAGGTGGTATAGAAAGCCAAGATCTCTGTGCTCAAGAGACTACTTGTAAGAGCAATGCAGCATGGCCCATGTCTTAAAGGGCCAGCAACAGAAATAAAAAAAACACAGACAAGAGAAGATCACTGAAACAAGGGCTGACAGAAAGGAAGCTTTAAAATAGACCTGCACATACAAATTTCTTCCACTTACTTTACTTTTGATAGACCAATTCCAACTGCAATTATCCAGAAAGCTATTCAAAAGGGACATCATTATAGTAAATCATTATCTTAGATAGGCTTATATCTATAGGGGGGTCCTATAGGTGTTCCTTCACAAATGAACCAGATGTGTGGAATCAGGGATCTCAGTGTGCACACCAGGGGCTTACCAAATGGCCAAAGTTGTTGTGACTTTCCTGAGTTCAGTTTCCTTTTTCTCAAAGTAGACCACAAGGAGCAACCTCTACTGTTCAGGGAGAGAAGGCGGGAGTTCCCCAAAGCAAAAGGAGCTTCACAGCTTCTGGGACAGTCCCAAAGTCCCTTCCTTCACTCAAAGGAATAGCTCTTGGTTCAATCTGAGGCAAACTCACCCATCTCCTAACTCTCCAGCAGTTGGCTCTCAACAAGTTTGCCAGGCACCTTGCATCTTCAGCATGGAAGTAGGGTTCCTTGGAGAGCCAGGCCTGCCCAAGAAAGCTGCAGCGGGGGCTGCTCTTGGGTCCCATCTGGGTCACCAGATTTGTTGCTGAAAGTTTGGTCTTCATCCCCAATGCCAATCCAATAATGAGGACACGGTTTTGAGAAAAAGGAAAAGCAAGGCTTATTGCTTTGCTAGTAAAGGAGAAACACAGGGGACTCCTGTCTCCAATGCTGTGAATCTCTTTTTTTTCTTTTTTTTTTTTTATGGGACAGGGTCTCACTGAATTACAGAATTGCTTAGGGCCTCACTAAGTTGCTGATACTGGTTTTGAAATCACGATCCTCCTTCAGCCTCTCAAGCTTCTGGGATTATAGACGTGCGCCACCACAGCCAGTGATGAACTAAAATTTTTCATGATTGAAAGGAGAATGTTCTTGTGACTAAAAAGGACTGGGAAAGTAAGAAATTTGCCTAAGATCTCATTAGGTTGGGAAGAACAGGGCCACAGAGTGAGTTCAACATGAAGTAGTGAGAAAGAATAAAGTTTGGGTTCAGTTCCTTCAGTAAATTGGTTACAACTTTAAGAAATTTAATAATTTTAGTTAAAATTGTATCAATAGATCTCTTTTTTTAGGGCAATAATGAGAGAAGGGCAATCATGTATGATAACACTAAATGCCAAAGAGCACATTCAGTCCTGATCTCAAGTCCCCCATGACGATCAAACATCCTACCTTATGACACGTGTGCAGGTACAGTTCTATCCTTTCCCAAAGCAACAAAGATCCAAGTATCTGCAAAAGTGAAAAAGAAAAAGGAGGTTAAAATCACCAAATTACTGTGTAACCCGCTGTTCTGTAGCTCAAAGTTCTTCTCAGAGCCTGGCAACACATTTACTTCATGCCATTCCTGTATTTTTCAGCCTCTAGGAGCTTGTGGTGCTGCTCCTCTACCTGCAAGCTCTCCCTTCTCCATGCTACTGACACTTCAATCCACTTCGAATGTCACCTATTTGTAATTTTTGCCAGCACCCCCAGGAAGAATTCATTATTATTTCCTCTTGGATTTCATAAGTTACCACACTGATACCCTTTCTGAATTCTTGCCCATTTCTTTTCCTTATGATGGACTTTACTAGCAGTGTAATTTACACTCACCTGTAAGAGAAGAGAAGTCAGAAATCAGCCCTTCCAAGGGTCTCAGGCTGATGATATAACTACACTGGTAAATTCTAGACTTAAATCTAAATCCAGTCAGTCATCAAGTCAGTGTGGAGATGGAAACTAAAAAGTAGAGTCCTCAGATGCTAGGATATTAATGACAGTCTGAATGCATCAAAATAATTTCATCTATATGATTTCATTTATTCTTTACTCATTCCTATAAAATGTCATTTTATTAAATAATATTATTATTCTCATTTGAAAAGGGGAAACTGAGGCTTAGAAGAGTTATATGACTTGATCAAGATTACAGTGTAACCTAATAACAGAGCTTGAAATAGAATCCAGGTCTCCTTCCTTTTTCATTGCTCTTACAATTGCATGTACCCATATAGGCTAGAGTGGAAAGTTAGTTAATATACAGACCTTTATTGGACACTAGAATTGATTCTACATTAAAAGCAAACAATACCATTTTATGTTAATTGTGTGTGAAAGTGGCACAATTCAGTGGCCAGAATTTGGCCTAGAGCTCATACATCATATGCATTTTTCCTAGTTAAAAAGTAAAGTGTATAGCTAGTCTCTCTGCTCATAGCCACTTTCCACATCACAACTTCCAAAATGATTTTTTTTTTCTTTTCTTTTTTCTTCTAATTTTTTTTTGGCAATTCTGGGGTTAGAACTCAAGGGATTGATACTAGGCAAGGAAAGCACTATGCCACTGAGCTTATACACCCAGCCTCATAAATACTGTTTTTTTGGTATTGGGACTTGAACTCAGGGTGCTTAACTACTAAGCCATATCCTCAGCCTTTTTTAAACATTTTATTTAGAGTCAGGGCCTCTGTAAGTTGCTGAGGTTGACTTTGAACTTGTCATCCTCCTGCCTCAGCCTCCTGAGCCACTGGGATTATAGGCGTGCACCACCACACCCAGGCCCAAAAATGATTTTCTTAAAATACAAACTTGATATATGCCAAATGTCATAGCCTTACTTTCCAGGACTTCCAAAATCTATCTTAAGCCATGTTTTACCATTATTCTTCATTATGCCTTACACACTAACAGCAAGGACCTGTTGCTTTTAATGAGACATCTAATTTCGTTTCTGTCTTGCTACTTTCTTTTTTAAAAAATATATTTTTTAGTTATAGATGGACGCTATATCTTTGTTTATTTATTTTTATGTGGTGCTAAGGATTGAACCCAGTGCCTCACATGTGCAAGCCGGGTACTCTGCCACTGAGCCCCAGCCCCAGCCCCTGTCTTGCTACTTTCTTATGATATATTCACTCATCTGAGAATGTCCTTCCCTATTCCTATATCCATGTGTCCAAATTCATCATCCCTTCAAAGTCCCACTCCAATGGTACCTCCTCTGAGAAATTTTATTTAATCTTCTTAACTGGAAGTCACCCCTTCTTTCTCAGAATCTCTGCAGAACTTCATTTAGGCCTCTCTTAAGTCATAACATTATAATGTTCCATGTTATTTTTGTCTATGACTTAGTTGCCCTACTAGATTCTGAATACTGAATGAAGGAACAGTGGTAACTTTATGTCTTATACCCATCTTTATGGAGTACTTTGCATAAAAAGAGAAACTGATTATTTTACTGATTTCTATATATTCATTACTTATCACAGTGTTTTCCTCATTTAATAATTAATAAATTCTGATGGAAGAAAAATCAGTACAAATGGCAATAGATCTAGGGGTTGGTTTCTCTACTAGACAGGAAATCTGTCAGAACACAGAATAGTGAAATCAGAGAAAGGTATTTGCCCTATATATAAATAGGCTCTGAGAAACTCTTACTAAAGTTATCCTCCCATTCAGCTCTCCATTTGCTCTTGCACAGTATAAATTTGCCTCACTACACAACACTACCATGGTGAGCAACAAAAGCAGTCACACTATTACCCAGACTTGCTAAAATGTCCACTGCATGAGGTTCTGAGTTTGATCCCTAGCACCAAAAAAAAAAAAAAAAAAAGAACAGAAAACACTTAAAAAAAAAACAGACCAACTAAAATGTGCTTTGCATGTGGGCTAGGAGGCTAGTTTCTACACATTAGAACAGGTTTAATTTACGAGGCCCAGAAAGATTGTTGATATGAAGCATGGGTATCTAAAATGACATTATTGAGTAAACCATAGGATAGGTTATGAAAATGAGGAATAGACAAAGGATGCTCTGCACCCTTTCAAAGGGTTAAATTGGTTAGACACATCCTGTAATTGCATAAGCTTCTTCCCCCATCCATTGTGCATAAAATTCACATGGCTGATATAAAGCATGACTCATACTAAGACTAGAGTGATCACATGTTTGTAATGGTTTCCAACACCAATTAGATACTATCACTGACAGGAGTGCCTCATGAGGCTATTAACAGAGAAAGCATTACTCACCAACAGCAATGAAGTATAGGTAACCATGACTGCAGCAAAACTCAGCAAAAAAATGGACCAGAAGAGCCAGTATCCTGTTCCTAGATAAACAACCCTGAAAAAATTAGTTTCAATCCTTAAAATACAGCAGAAATCCGTAGCAGCAACTGCATCAAAGTATGGGGACAAAATAAGACCAGATGGAGCACAAGATAATGGAGGGATAGGAGAAGCCCTTTGTGAATAGATCTGTGAGAGCTTTGGTGATATTTACCTGAGTTTTAACTTCATTCTATAGGAAATAGGGTACATTAATGCAGTCTCTATAAGGCAGAACTTTTTAAAAGTCATTTAGAATAAAAATTCAAAAGTTATATCTTCTTTAAAAAAATACATAAAATCCATAATACCAAAAAAAAAAAGAAAAAAGAAAGAAAAGAAAAATTTATCCCATAAGTTTTCTGCCTTAAAAAAAACTATTAATTTACATTTTGGCAGATTCTTTATTCATGTGCATGAATATTTTCTTACACAATTACAATACTAACTGCCATGTTAATTGCTCTACTCTGTGTAAGAGATTTGGGTCCTTTAAAAACATTCCTGATTATTCTGTTCCTAAAGTACTATATAAGAGAAAATTGGTAATGATTTATTAAAAACAACATTATACTTGGTCTAGAGATTATACATGTCAAAGAATTTAGACTTTTCATTTCAAGATAATAGAAATTACCTCCTTTCCATATAAAAACTGGAGAAATTATATCTTTAAATATGTAAGTGCTAGAAATATACAAACATATTAAAAATTAAAAAAGGAAATTCCCCTCTTAGAGTGGCTATAAGACATACTACAAAAAAACAGTCAACTATCCTTCCAAGTAAGAGCAATCCCAGATCAAGACACTGGGAAGAAGAATACTCTATAGATGAGCTCTCAACCAGGAATCAGAAAACATGTAAGGAAAGTCAACATAAGAACCCAATGAAGCCAACAAGAAGAATTTATATCCAAGAAAACATAATTGAGGGCTGGGGATGTGGCTCAAGCGGTAGCGTGCTCGCCTGGCATGTGCGGGGCGCTGGGTTCTATCCTCAGCACCACATACAAATAAAATAAGGATGTTGTATCCACTGAAAACTAAAAAATAAAGTAAAAATCATAAATGATTGCTACTAGTGGTCTAGACACAGTGAAGAATTAATTAAACAGTTTAAGTAGTGATATTGGTTTTCCTTCCAAGTAAAAAAGAAAACCTAAGATTTGCTATTCAACGGGATCACTTTTTTTCCTAATTATTTTCCAGCCACATTCAAAATTTAAGAAAAAAACAACCTACATGATAAGCAGAATCTAAAAGAATTCATGACTACTATTCTGATACCACAGGAAGTACTTAAAAGAAATACTACACACAGAAGAAATCAGAAACCACAGATCTCTCAAATAGACAAATCTCATTTGAAGAATAGCTAAGCAAATGAGAAATAGGACCAAATTAAATGTTAGAAATAAATCACAGTGGTAGAAATTAATAAATCTCTCTCCATGATAACACTGAATGTAAATGCTCAACTGTCCAATTAAAAGACATAGGGGTGGTCCAGTGCCAGACTAGCCATGGACAAGATGGAGTTCTCTTCTGAGTCTTGGCTTCTGAGTCTTGGCTTGGCCTGTTTTGAGACTGCACTTGGGAGGTATTAAGGAGGGAGTCTCCACTCCAAACATCCCAGTATGCAGGACTATCTCTTAAATAGATTTCTCCAAGTGGAACTGCCCAGTGGGGCTGCTTCCTTGTACATCCCTACAAACTACATCTTCCTCATCCTTCAGAAGGCCATAGACCCCACAGAACTCCTCCTGAGTTCTAGATGGTACTTTGGCTTCAGCATTAACATTCTAGTCCTGTCATTTCCCTTGAAAGCAGGTAATAAAAGAGACCAAACTATATGAGCCTCCTTTGAAGCAAGAAGATAAAACTGGATAGAGGAAAAACACAGAAAGGAAGTCTTGTCAGTAGAAGCCTGAGAAGATGAACAGATTAGAGAAGCAACAAGACTTGGGAGGCAAAGTTGTATACATCAAATTACAGACTGAGGAAAAAAAAAAGGATGTGAATATAAGAAAATTGGAAAAATCCTTCCTTTGCTCACAGACCTTATTTCTTTTAAGGCAATACATTTTTGAAGTTTTGAGTTTGAAACCATTTAGATTTAACCTTGAGGGAAGGTGTGTAGTAGAGTCACCAAGTTTACTAGCTGGAAGTCCTCTACCACTGCTTATTTCTCATGGTAATAGCTCCTTGTAAGTGTAAATCATTGTGGAAATGCCTTCAGTATAAAAAGCATGTCCCCTCCAATAGCAAAGCATTCACAGTGGGGGAAAACCCTATGAATTTACTACTGAATGTGCAAAAACTTTTATGCATATGTCACATTTCATTGAACATAGAAGTCATTCTGAAGGGAAACCTTGTGCTTCTAAGGAATATTGAAAAGCCTTTAGCTAGATGACAGATTTCATTGAGCAGCAGAAAATTCATGGTAGAGAGAAAACAGTGAATATAGCAAAATACCTTTGACTATTAGAAAATTTGTATTAGAAAACTGAATGAACTGAGTATGATAAAATTTTCTCATAAAATTTATCCCTTTCTCTGCATATGAGAAATCATACAGAGAAGCCTCGTAAATGTAAGAAATGTGGAAATATCTTCAGACAAAAGTAAATCCTCATTTATCAAAAAATTCATATTGGACCTGGGGCTATAGCTCAGTGGCAGAACACTTGCCTCGCATGTGTAAGGCACTGAGTTTGATCCTCAGCACCACATAAAAATAAACAAAATAAAGGCATTCTGTCCATCTACAACTCCAAAAAAATTTGTTTTAAATTCATATTGGAGAGAAACCTTGTGAATGTGGTAAAGCTTCCATTCAGATGTCTCACACCTCAGTTAGCAGAAAATTTAAAGTGGGGAAAGCCCCTTTGCCTATAAGGTATGTGGGAAAGTCTTCAGCCATAAATTCAATCTCACTAAGCATGAGCATTTTCACAATAGAGAGAAACTCTTTGAATGTAACATTGTGGGAAAACCTTTGGCCCAAGGAAATACATCATTAAACATCAGAATACTCATACTGGAGAGCAGCTTTGTGAATGTAATGATTGTGGAAAATCCTTTAGCCAGAAGGAAAACCTTCTTACCCATAGAAAATCCACACTGGAAAGAAACCTTTTGAGTGTAAAGACTGTGGGAAAGCTTTCACTCAGAATTCCAACTTCATCAGATACCAGAGAACTCACCCAGGAGAGAAGCCTTTTACATGTAAAAAGTGTGGTAAAACCTTTAGTGGTTTTATTGAGCATGACAAAATTCATATTGGAGATAAACCCTTTAAATGTAATGAGTGGACAGAAGTACCTTATAAAGTATCAAAACATTCATACTGGAGAGAAACCCTATGAATGTAATGAAGGTCCATTCAGGTAAGAAGCCTTATCAATGCAGTGAATGTGGGAAAGCTTTCAGCCAGAAGTCACACCATTTTAGACACCAGAGAATTCATACTTATTAAAAACCCTATGAATATCTGGGAACATGTGCATCAGAAATTTATATCTCATATTGCATTAGAAAGTCATTCTGAAGCAATGCACCACAAATGAGGTGAACTTGTACAAATGCTAACAACTTTCAGGACACTGAGAATTCATATAGAAGAGGAAGAAATTTGTGTGATAAAAAGACTCTGCCAACAACAAAAATCCTACAGTCAAAATGGTATAGGTAATGCTGAAACTATGGAGGTATTTCCACGAAAATTGTAACAGAAAACAGGCCTGCTACTCCATCAACATAGATGCGAAGTTCTTCACCAGTGTAATAAAAAAAAAATGAGTTGTGTTAGAAAGGAATAGACCAAAAACAGACGGTATGATCATCTATAAGAAATGGAACTCTGGTGGTATTGATTTAGCAGAGGGCAAGAGATTCCAGAAAGAGACCTATGCATTTAGTAGTCCTTGCAATATTAAAGAAATCCGTCAGATGAGGAAATATGGGACAATTTAAAAAATTATTCGGAGGTAATTTGTTCTCTGAAGAGGAGAGGAAAGAAACCATGATCACTCAAGCAAAATTCATGGGGACTAAAGAGAGAAATATAAAAAAGCCATGTACTAAAATGGCTGTGATCTCGGGAGTACGGAAACATTCCTTCATATGAACAAATTTTAAAATATTTAGCAGTTTTAGTTTTAAATGTATATGCTCGGGAGATAAGTACTGGGAACTTTCCTATAGCTTGATTTGCTCTGGCTGTCAAATATTGGAAACAAAAGCCCATTAGGAACAGAACAAAAGTTCTTATGATGGGATACTATACATCTGTAAAATGCAACAAATGAGATCCACATGCTACTAATGGAAGGATCTAAAATTAAAATCACATTAAGGGGGGAAAAGTTGCAGAATGATGCATATAATAGAGTAACTTTTTGTAAATTTGAATTAAAACTTCATGAAATTTAGCACTTTATATTGGTAATGAATACATATGTGTATGTAAATTTTCTTAAATGAATTGGAGAAATACAGACCAAACTTTTGATAGTAGTGGCCTATGAAGAGTGAAGGGGGAAGGGAATGAGTACAGGGGGTAGGGTGGGGAGGGGGCTTCAGCTTTTTATATATAAACATCCATTTCTCTTAAAGGTTGCAAGTAAATATATGAAGATACTAGCTAATTCTGAATTGTGGTATGTGGATGTATTATTTTTTGTACTTTTCTGTACTTTTAAAAATTTCTCAAAGTTATTAAGAATGGAGGTGGGGTTAGGAACTCTGTACTTGTAGAAATCATGCTATAATGGACAAATTCCCAACCAAATATGAACTTTTTATAGAAAATATTTCTAAAATTTTATCAATGATGAGTGGATGGACTTGTTGTCTATGTAATGTGAAATTATGTATTTTATTAAAATTAGAATGACAGTATACTAAAAAAAGATATAGGTTGGCAAGAATGGATTAAAAAACATGACCTAAGGGCTGGGGTTGTGGCTCAGTGTTAGAGTACTTGCCTAGCATATGTGAGGCACTGGGTTCAATTCTCAGTATCACATATAAATAAATAGAACAAAGGTCCATAGACAACTAAAATACTTTTTAAAAAATCCCAATTATATGCTGTTTGCAAGGAAGCTGCTTTACAGGCAAAGACAAGCCACAGGATAACAGTGAAAGGATGGGAACTGATATATCATGCTAATGGAATCCCAAAACAATCAGGCGTAGCTATTCTCATATACAACAGAGCAGACTTCAAGCCAAAATGAATCAGAAGAAACACAGAAGGTCACTTAATACTTGTAAAGGAAACAATCCAACAAGAAGATATTGTGACAGCAAATTAATGCCCCAAATGCTGATGCACCTAATTATGTAAAACAGACACCATTCAGTTTCAATATTCAGATAGCCCATAAAACAATAATACTGGATGGTTTATGTCTGTCATCCAGACATAAACTCAGTAAAGACTCTATAGACCTAAAAAATAATATAAATCAATGGACTTGGCAGAAATCTACAGAATATTTCATCCAATGAGAGCTAAATTCACTTTCTTCTCAGCTGCTCATGGAACCTTCTCCAAAATAGACGAAATTTTAGGCTACAAAGCAATTCTTAGCAAATAAAACAAAACAATTGATCTAATTCCTTGCATCTTATCTGATCATATGGAATGAAATTAAAAATCAACACACAAAAAATGCTGCAGTAACTATATGAACAATACTCTTTTGAATAAAGAATGAGTAGTAGAAGAAATCAGAGAAATTTAAAATTCTTAAAAATCAAATGAAAATAGTGGTACAATGTACCAATATACTAGAACCTCTGGGACACTATAATGATGGTTCTAAGAGGAAACTCCATAGCTATAAGTGCCTATATAGGAAAATCAGAAATATCCCAAATAAACAACATAATGATGTATCTCAAGATCCTTGAAAAACAAGAACTAATTCCATATAATATAAAAATCAGGAATAAACCAATTCTAGTTGAAAGAAGGAAATACTTACGATGAGAGCTGAAATCAATGAAATAGAGAATTAAAAAATACAAAGATCGAAGAAAAAAACAGCAGATTCTTTGAAAAGATAAACATAATTGACAAAATAAATTAAATAAATAAAATAAAATTAGCTAAAGTAATCAAAAGAGAGAAGAATCAAATTAATAAAATTAGAGATAAAAAAGGAGATATCACAGAAATCCAGAGGATCATAGGGACTATTTTGAAAGCTCATATTACAATAAATCAGAAAACATAGAAGAAATGGCTACATTCCTAGACACATATGATCTGCCAAAATTGAATCAAGAGGACATATAAAACCAGTAATCAGCAACATGATAAAAGCAGTAATAAAAAGTCTTCCAATAAAAGGAAGCACACATGGATTCTGACCTGAATTCAATCAGACCTTTAAAGAAAAAATAATGCTAATACTACTCAAATTATTCCATGAAACAGAAAGGGAGGCAACATTCTCAAATTCTTTCTAAGAAGCCAGTACCACCCCCATACCAAAACCAGATAAAGACACATCAAGGAGAGAAAACTACAGACAAATATCCCTGATGAACATAAGACACAAAAAATCCTTAATAAAATATTAGCAATCCACATTCAAAACTACATTAAGAAGATTGTACACCATGATCAAGTTGGTTTCATCCCAGGGATGCAAGCTTGGTTAATATACACAAAGCAATAAATATGATTTACCACATAGAAATAATTAAGGACGAAAGTCACATGATTATCTCAACAGCTGCAGAAAAACCCTTCAACAAAATTTAGTACCCACTCATGATTAAAAAAAAAATTGAAGAAACTAGAAATAAAGGAACTTAGCTTACCATCATAAAGGCTATATAAGACAAACCCATAGCCAGCATCTGAGTGCATAGGGAAAAACTGAAAGTATTTCCTCTAAAATCTGGAACAAGTCAAGGATGTCCATCCTCAATACATTACTAGAAATTCTAGCCTGAACAATTAGACAAGAGAACAATTAGACAAGAGAAGGAAATAAAAGGGATAAAAATAGGAAAGAAAGAAGTCAAATTACCACTGTTTGCTGATGGTATTATCCTATATCTAGAAGATCCAAAAAGTTCCACCAGAAGACTTCTACAAATAATAAATAAATTCAACAAAGAAGCAGGATACAAAAGCAACATAGAAAAATCAATAGCTTTTCCATACACTAATAATGAAACTGCTGAGAAAGAAATCAGAAAAAAAATCCCATATACAATGGCCTCAAAAATACATACGTAGGAATAAATCTAACCAAGGATATAAAAGACCTCTACAATGAAACTTACGGAACACCAGAAGAAGACACAAGAAGATGGAAAGACTTCCCATGTTCATGGATAGGCAGAATTAATATTGTTAAAAAGGCCATATTACCAAAAGAAATAAACAGATTTAGTGCAACTCCATCAAAATATTAATGACGTTCTTTATAGAACTAGAAAAAGCGGTTCTAAACTTCATTTGAAAGAATAAAGACCAAGAATAACAAAGCAATTTTAAGCCAAAAAAGTGATGGTGGAGGTATCACAACACCTGACTTCAAATTATATTACAGAGCTATAGAAACAAAAACTGCATGGTACTGTCATAAAAACAGACACACGAACCAATGGAACAGAAGAGAGAACACAGAAGCAAACCCACTCAGATATAGTCTTATGATCCTTGACAAAGTGCTAAAATCATAAACTAGAGATAAGAAACTGGGAAAACTGGGTATCCATATGTAGATGAATGAGACTAGATCCTTATCTCTAACTCTGCACAAAAATCAACTCAAAATGGATCAAAGACCTAGGAATTAGACCAGAAACTATGCAACTCCTAGAAGAAAACAAAGGGTCAGCATTCCAACATACAGGCACAGGCAACAACTTTCTCAATAGGACTCCTAAAGCTCAAGAAATAGTATCAAGAATTAATAAATGGGACAGCATCAAATTTAAGAGCTTCTGCACAGCAAAGGAAACAATTAAGAATACAAAGAAAGAATCTACAGAATGGGAGAAAATCTTTGCTAGCTACTCTTCTGAAGCATAAATATCCCAACTACATAAAGAACTCAAAAAATTTAACATCAAAAAACCAAATTTGGGCTGGGGTTGTAGCTCAGTGATAGAGCACTTGCCTAGCATGTGTGAGGCACTGGGTTCATTTTCAGCACCACATATAAATGAATAAATAAATTAAATAAAGGTCCATTAACAACTTAAAAATATTTTTAAAAAAACCAATTCAATAAATAAATGGGCAAATGAACTAAACAAATATTTCTCAAAAGAAAAAATATAAATGTCCAACAAATATATGAAAAATGTCTAACATCTTTATTAATTAGGGAAATGCAAATAAGAACACTAAGATTTCATCTTACTCCAGTTAGAAGGCAGCCCTAAAGAATACAAACAATAATAAACTCTGGAGGGGATGTAGAGAAAACGAAATCCTTTTACACTGTTTTTGAGACTGTGAATTAGTACAATTGCTATGGACATCTGTAGCAAGATTCCTCGAAAGACTATTATGGAAGCACTATATGACTCAGCTACACAACCTCCTTAGTATTTGTCCTAAAGAATTAAAGTCAGCATATGTATACATGCATAACCATGTTTATAACAGCACAATTCATAATAGATAAACTATGGAACCAGCGTAGGTGTCGGTCAATAGATGAATGGATAAATAAAATGTGAAATAAACACAATGGAGTTTTATTCAGCCATAAAAAAAGAATGAAATTATGTCATTTCAGGAAAATAGCTGGAACTTGAAAACATTATGTTAAGTAAAATGAGCAAACTCAGAAAGTCAAAAGTCATGTTTTTCCTCATATGTGAAATCTAGAGAAGAAAAAAAAGGAAAAGAAGTTGCAGAAGATGGGGCTATCATGAAAATCAAAGGAAGATTAATATGATAGAAATACTGGGGAATACTGACCCAATTATATTGTTGTATCATGTGCATGTATGAATATATAACAATGAATTCCACCATTATGCACAATTATAATGCATCAATAAGAAATACGAAAAAAATAAAACTTAAGTAAGATTTTAGAAGGCTGCTCATCTATTTCAGTTTTAGGGACACTGGAATCAACTAGTTAATATCATATGAATCCTCAAGTCAGGTCATTCTTATCATTGTGCCAATTCTGGTGTCCATTACAGTAACAATACTCACCTTACCTTTGGCAATTAAGTGCTACAATTTGTTCCACATAACCTTGAAATCCCATCATCCCTATTAATTCAGAGAGCTTTGTTTGATGCCAATACTTTTCTGTGTCATCCCTTTACTACTGAAAATAGCTCATTATACTCCTCATTATCACTAAAATGCTCAATGGAAGCAACTGCTTTGTCAACGAAACCTTCCCCCATCTACTTGATTACAGATTGTCTATACCTGACAACTTAAATAAACATTGTAGAGTATAGTGGTGCATGCCTATAATCTCAGCCACTCAGGAGGCTGAGGCAGGAGGACTGCAAGTTCAAGGTCAGCTCAGGTTACTTAGCAGGACCCTGTCTCAATATAAAAAGGGCTAGAGGGCTGGGATTTGGGATTGTGGCTCAGTGGTAGAGTGCTTTCCTAACATGTGTGAGGTACTGGGTTTGAACCTCAGCACAACATAAAAATAAATTAAAAAAGGTATTGTGTTCACCTACAACTAAAAAATAAATTTTAAAAGGGCCTGCAGATGTAGCATAGAGGTAAGTAACCCCTGGATTCAATCCCCAGTGCCGTACATAAATAAATAAATACTACTGCATGTCATAGATAACCACTGTCTGCTTTATCACTGGAAATAAGGCTCTTAAATTTAATAAAATCAGAGAATCAATTCTAGATAGTTCAGAATCAACTTAGAGAACCCATCCTTATGGTTCTATTCTTCTAGAACGGGAACTGATAATAATTTCTTTTTTTCCTTTTCTTGGTAATAGGTATTGAATTTAAGGGCACTCAACCACTGAGCCACATCCCCAGCCTTATTTTGTATTTTATCAGAGATAGGGTCTCACTGAGTTGCTTAGTGTCTCATCGTTGCTGAGGCTGGCTTTGAACTCGTGATCCTCCTGCCTCAGCTTCCCAAGCTGCTGGGATTACAGACATGTGTCACTTTACCCGGCACAATTTCTATATCTTTAGGAGTTTGATCAGAGAAACAGAGCCACTATGAGTAATACAGAATAAGATGTTATAAGGATTAGACTTAACACAATTATGAGAATTTACAGAGAAATCTGTATTAAAGAAGTCATCCCTACATTTGGTGTTGGGCCTTAAGTCACTATATGTAGTTAGATTGTCACTCCAGAAGAAAAGCTGGATGTGAAGTTGGGGAAAACAAGGAAAAACTGAATCTCCACAGATGAACTGGAACCCATAGGACAAATTCAACCTGGTGACTGACCCTTAACCATCTCAAGCCTCAAAGGCATGAGCAACTTACAGAATCCAGCACTCTTTGCCATGAAGTTGGATGAAAACTTGGTCCAAGATTCAGGCTTAAGAAAAGACATGGAGGAAGTTGGGGAAGTTTCAAATCCAGATGTTCTCCCACCCCAATTTCTGATGTGGGAAATAATGTATGTATGCTACCATATGCTTATTACTCTTCTTCAATCTTTAAGCATATAAAAAATGGCTGCTGCCTTGCTTTCCAAATCTTGTGCCAATTTCTCTTGAAATTGAAACTATACAGGAAAGATAAATGAAGGTCCAGCATAGCTAAGTTGACAAGAGAAATTCACCACAGACATCAAACGACAGGTTTAGGAAGCTCTGAGAATTTCAAACAGAATAAGAACAAAGAAAACCATACTCATGTCCTAGGGCTATAGATCAGTGGTAGAGTACTTGCCTAGCACATGTAAGGCACTGTGTTTGATCCGCAGCACCACATAAAAATAAATAAATAAAAGAAAGATATTGTGTCCATCTACAACTAAAAAAAAAAAATTAAAAAAGAAAGAAAACCACACTTATGCACATCATACTAAAATTGCCAAAAATCAATTAAAAGGAAAATTCTTAAGAGTGAGCAAATAAAAAACAGATTACCTTCAAAAGATCAAAAATAAACTAAGAGCAGATCTCTCAAGAGAAATAATTAAAGCAAAAGGATAACAAAATAAGAGATTCAAAATACTAAAAAACAAAAACTGCCAAATTATAATTCTATACCCACAAACTGGGGTGATAGCTCAGTGGCAGAGAACTAACCTTGCATGCATGAGGCCCTGGTTTAATCCCCTGCACTGCAAAAAATAAAATAAAAATTTTAAAAAAAGAAAAGAAGACAAAGAATTCTATACCCATCTAAGATATATTTCAAGGATAAAGATGAAATAAAGCCATCTTCACAAAAACAGAAACTGAGAAAAACTGTCCCCAGAAAATTCTTTTTAAAGGAAATTCTAGGGATGTTTTTCATACAGGGGGAAAAAAAATGTTTACACAAAAGATCACAGCTGGGCACAGTCGCTTATGCCTGTAATCCCAGTGGCTCAGGAGGCTGATGTAGGAAGATAGCAGGTTCAAAGCCAGCCTCAGCAAAAGCAAGGCACTAGCAACTCAGTTAGACCCTGTCTCTAAAAAAAAAAAAGAGATGCACAATGAAATATAGAGCAATAAAAAGGTAAATACATAGATTGATGTAAGTGAATATGTCCTATTGTTGAAAATGTAGGTAGGATTGTAGGATTAAAATACAAGATGATAATGGCTTATAAATCAGAAGGAGGCAAATGAGGTTAAGTTGTTTCAAGATCTTTGTACTATCCATAAGAAGGCTAAAACACTAGTAATATTATACTTCAATAAGTCAAACTATACGTTATAATTTTTAAGGTAAATACAAAAAAAGACTTTAAGAATAGATACGGTAAAAATGCGGATATACCTTCCAACTTAAAAAGGAAAAAAATAAAATAAAAAAATATTTAGTACAAATAACACAAAAAAGAGGAAAGAAATAATACAGAACTAACAGGAAGATTATGATTATAAGCTCAAATATTATTACGGAGATTTGTTTTATTTGGAACATAAATGATAAATATTACCAAATTAGATTTGAGAAACTCAACCATATACTATTTATAAGAGAAAATTCTAAAACATAGACTATAAAAAAGTTAAAAAGCAAAAATTTAGAAAAAATAACCATGCAAAGCTAGTATGGATAAATTAGTATCATATAAAATGACTACTTTCAAAATAAAAACATGTGAAGAAAGTAAGAATATACATACTGTAAAAATACAAAGAATAAACTTCACTAAGATTGAAGACTTCATTAGTATTTAAATTGTCCCCAACTTTTACTTTGCATTCTGGAGGTAGATGATCACAAGTGGGAATGATGGCAAGGAAAATTACAGAAGATGGCCAAGGAGCATCTCAGTCTTGGGTGAGGGTTTCCTAGTTGTGTTTATGGTCAATAGAAAAGCCTGCTGTAAGAAACAATTTTATACCACACCTGGAATAGCAATTCCAAAAATTGTCTATGGACTAGTTCTTAACTAGAGCACTGTGTAACAAAAATAACAATGACCAAAAGTGACCAGCGTAGATGACCAGAGGTTCCCCTCACCACCATCATACTATTTTTGTTATGCAAAGCTTCAGGACCTTGATTCTATGCAAAGGATGGGAAGAGAATCAGAAAATTTTGGATATTATATTTTGTACAAACTTTGTCATTTATGGATGCATAGATCTCAGTGCCAAATATTTTAAAATTTATAAGCACAAATAAAAATTGAAAAACAAGTGTTGGGGAACAATTCAGAACTAGTTCATAAGTGAAGATTATATATAAACTGATAAAAACAAACTTACTAAAGTCCCTCAAAAAATAATTGGGCACAGGAAGAAAAATATAAAAAGAAAATGTATTGTTGGGCACGGTGGCACACACCTGTAATCCAAGCTATTTGGGAGGCTGAAACAGGAAATCATAAATCCCAGCCTAGCCTGGACAACTCAGTAAGACCCTGTTTCAGAATTATTAAATGTTTTTAAAAGGCTCAGTGGTAGAGTGCTTGCCTTGCAAGCCTGAAGCCTTAGATTCAATCCTCACTACTGCAAAAACAAAAACAAACAAACAAAAGAAGTTAAATAAACTAGTTTTTGAAACTCAATGATTCAAATTAAAGCAATAGAAATAAATCCATCAAGAAAATTAAAAGCAATCAAAATTCAATTATTTAAAATTGCCACTGACAGATGAAAAAAGAAACTGTCATATACCTCTGATTTAAGTGGAATAAGCTGTAACCTTTTGAGTAAACACTTTCACAATGAGCATAATGAATTTTAACAGTAAACACTGTCTTTGATTTAATGATGCCACTTGTGGAAATCTAGTCTAAGAACATTAGTCAGAATATGAAAATTTCTCTGCGTTATTATTTTATCAAGACAAGAACACTGGAAACATTCATAATGCCTAACAACAGATAGCTAAGTAAGTATATTGGCATCTTCCTGTCATGAAATATTCTGAAACCACTTTGAATGATGTATATTGAAAGTTCTAATAATCTGTTAAAATGTTTATGATTATTTTAAGTGAAAAAGGAAAGCAAAATTATATAAATAGTATGAACCTAAGAATATAAAAATAAACACAGAAAAAAGGCTAGAAAATATATACCAAATGACTATCATTCAACAATGTGGCTGAGCAGATATTTTCTAATTTTTTGCATTTTTAACATTTAAAACAACAAACCATATTTCCTTCTATAAAAAAGAAAATAAATTAATTTTTAAAAAGCCTCATACCCAAATACAACCTTCTCCCTCAAATACCACATAATGGATAATGTTTGCTACAATGTTAGAAGGCAGCAGGCCAGAAAAACTGGTCTGGGAGCAGTCCAGGAGTGGGAGTTCAACCATGAAAGGGGGCTGAGAAGGGACACTTGTTCCTGTTTTCAGAATTCCAGGAGGTCCCTAAGGGAGGGAGAGGCTGTAGGAGAAGAAGAGAAGGCAGGGTTCAGGGGCAGAGATCATGAGGACCAAATAGTGTTAGCTCAGTAACCCAAACAAAGAGACTAAGATGACAGAGAATCATATATGAGAAGGATTTAGGGACACTGGAAGCACAGAGAAAGCACACAGCCAGATTTGGTCTTCAGTGTGAGACTGATGTAGAAGGGAAATAGAATAGGTTAGGGTGCTAATAAGCATCCTACTCCTGTCCCAGAGTCAGGTCTCTTA